CGGTTAACAGATTTGTATATTTTTCTGTAGTTTTACTCTCCGAGAACTCTTAAGGTTCTTGCTTTTGATTTCTGTTAACAGATTTGTATATTTTTATGTAGTTTTACTCTCCGAGAACTCTTAAGGTTCTTGCTTTTGATTTCTGTTAACAGATTTGTATATTTTTATGTAGTTTTACTCTCCGAGAACTCTTCAAGTTCTCTTGCAAGTTTAGGTTAACTTTCCCTTTCGTTTGTGTTGGCCCCGTTTAACTTTCGCCTGTAATGTGATAAACTGATTGTTTAAGTTTGTCAGTGAACAAATTGTGCATGTGTCGCTCCATAGGTGAGTGGAGCCTAGGTTTCTATGTAAAATATGCGTTATAGTTGTTATTTAGGCAAACTAGAGTGAGTTAATTTTATTTTGTTAGATTTTAACCTGGGGAAATTATTTTTGCTATTCTCTCTTATATTGTTAGTCTAAGTTCCAAGTGGGGGGGGGGGAGAACATGTACTAGTAAGAGTATATTATTTGATAAATTCATCATTGCTCTTTGCTAGTCACATATCTTTTTTTCTCTTTTTGTTTGGTCACACTTTCCAACACGATCACTTCCTGTATTGTACAATAGTGTACTGTTGTTTTTGTAAACTGTGAAAATCTCCATTAAAGATTGGTTCCTTGTGTAAATCTACGTTGTCCTGTCTCATTCAACCTTCAGTCGTAACACCTGTCAGGAAATACCCCTACCCTCGGCATAAAAGATTCGCGAACCTCCTTTTTTGCAGACCCTGGCTTCTTTGTTTACCTGAAAACCCTCGAGATATGACACCAGCAACGCTAAAATATTAAATATAGAAATTTAATTTAGAAGAACAAAAAGCACGTCTACAAACAATACTGAAAGACCAACATCGTAACTAGTGCTAATGGGAGATGTTGCCTTTGTCTGTATTGTTTAAAACGTTCAGTAGAAACTTTTTTCAGTAATTGTATATGTTTTTCATCAGAAAAGAAATAGCGAAGTTGTGATCTTTGACGATATATAAATGCTTGGAACATCGTAGTATAAAAGAAAACCTATTTGTGTTTTTTGTCTTATACAAACAATACTGAAAGACCAACATCGTAACTAGAGCTAATGGGAGATGCTGCCTTTGTCTGTATTGTTTAAAACGTTCAGTAGAAACTTTTTTCAGTAATTGTATATGTTTTT